CGCACAACACCACAACTACTTACTAGTTACTAGAGCTGGTTTCCATGACAACAGACGGGGAGGGAGAGAGAGAGATAGAGAGACATGGAGAAAGAGAGAGAGAAACTCCCGCCCCCTTTATCCCAGGATATAGAGTCAGATCTAAGAATGATGTATGATCAAGTGCAAGAGAGGAAGAAATAAAGGGAGAGGGCGAACGGAGGGAGGAGGTAGTGTGACGCGTAGTGCGAAGCGTAGTGCAAGAGGAGAAAAGGATAGAAGTGAATGAGTGCAAAGAGAAGCAGAGAAATAGAGAGATGTTGCAGAGACAAAGAGCCAGGAAGAGGTAAGAAAAGAAAAAAGAAGAAAAGATGGACAGACCGGATGAATAAATATCCACAAAGGAGGAGCTGCTGCTGCTCTTATAGGCGTTTTCAAGGTTGTTCCAACATGGATCCACATCACATTTCCTTAGTGTGGAGACATTACATCACATCCAGACTCAAAGGTCGTCCGCCACATTCGCAGCCATGTTTTAACAGGAAGAAACAAAAACAAGGCCTCGCTGCGCACTTGTATGCTGCTATGGTGTAAACACAACACAGAGAGATTTTGGCTTTTGCAAAAAGCATTTCTTTTGGCATTTAAAGCAACAAGGTGAATGTTGCACATATGAATGGACCTGGAACCCTTAAAGCACATACAAACATGTTTTAGGATCTCAAAAAGAGGTTTGTTAAACGTACCAGTGAGGCCGATTTTATGGTGGCAAAGCGGCCCTGGTTCTTGTAGTTTTGGGCCTGGCTGCTCTTGTCGGAGGAGGACGGCCTCAGCCCTTGCAGGTGGTCCCTGTGGATCCCATCGTCCCAGTTGTACTGATGGTCCTGAGTGAAACACACATACAAACAGCACTGAGAAATGCAAAAACATGATGAAATGTCAACACTCCATCGCGCCCCATTAAAAACATGTTCAGGAACCAGGGGACCAAAAGAGTCGATTCATGTGAGGAGGGAACTTCATCAGCATCTGAAAACAATGTGTGTCACTTTCATTTGTTCTCAGCTCAGCCCCTGAACTTGAATGGCTGTCTGTTCATAAAGTGACATCCTTATTCATGCATGTCAAAAACACACAGAGCAGATGAAGAAAGAGAATGAAAGAGCAGTGACAGCCCTCTCTTCACAGATGTTTAAGTCATGCGAGGATGTCAGGCATTGTGTTGACCTGTGTGTGTACTGAATGTATGCATGTCTGTGTGTGTGTGTGTGTGTGTGTGTGTGTAAGGTGACAGAGCTGTAAGTGGGGAAACGGTGGGGAGTGTGTGTTGTCGACATGTGTACACAGTCTTTGTTCTCTGGGTGTGAACGGCGTTTGTGATGAACTTGAAGCGATCTGCCAAACAGTGAGGACTGTGTCCGTGGTTTCCATGGTTTCAGGGTGTGTGTGTGTGTGTGTGTGTGTGGGGGGGGGGGGGTTATGCATACACTTGAAAATAGTAAGAGAAAATCCAGAGGATGTTCGCACGGAGCAATGTGTCCTTTCAATTTTAGAGTGCACAGTTATAGAGGAAGTGATACTCGTAACATTGCATGTGTTGATTATAGGACATGACCAATTCAAATTAAAGGACAGTTATTTGTTGCGTTTATAGTTTTCCTCGTCTTTAATCAGACTTTAGCTCCACCAGGGAGGATTTACCTTTGCTGGTGTTTACTTGTTTGTCTCTAAATCAGACGGAATATTTCAAAAACCTGAATGGAAATCAATGGAATTTGGTGGACAGATGGGCGTCGCGTGAATGAACAATGGATTGGACTTTTGATTTGTGATCCGGATTTCAGATTTCAGCCATTAGATATTTTTCTTTTTGTCATGATGAAACACTAATCTTTAAATATGGGAATAGGATTAACTCGGACTGAAAATAAATTAGAGCAGTATTTCCTAAACAGCAGCACAGGGGTTACTTCTGCAGCTGTCGGGGGGGGGGGGGGTCGTGGAAGTATTGTGGAGTTGGTCAGCTAATTGTACAGAATAGATTTAGTAAAAAAAAAAACAACAAAAAAATTCTGTTTAGGAGGAAAATAAGAACATAATCTGGATTACAAATTGGTGCGATGTTTATCTTTGGTCACATCCCCATATTAAACTATTGTTGTGTCTCGACAAGACCCCCCCCTTTTTTTGACCCCTTTGTGGGTTCATACAATGATATAGAAGTGCATCATTTAGCATGAAAACACTGCCATCAAATCAACTGTCATTGGCTCTTAGGAAAACGCAAAATAACTAGTATAATAACTAGCAAATGCAGCTAGTATAAAACATGTCCATGATCAAATAGATCTAAATGCATACGTTAAAACAAGGTAGAGTTCGTATCGTGCACAAAGGCTTAGAGGCCCCCCTCTTCAGGTGACTGAGGTAGACTATATCTGTATTGTTGCAAGTATTTTTTGTCACATGATGTTTATTCTCTAAATTAGCTAAACAGCTTTTCTGAGGTTTTACTATAATATTTTGTACAGCGTCGTAAAGTGTTTTTGTAGTAAATGCTCAATTTCAAATGCAGTTTTCAACCAATAGCAGCACTATATACTAGTATATACTAGGTGTGACATCATCATCAGCTGTGACTCTGGTGGTGTCGATGAAGGGGCACTCAAGCTCATCTCCTCACACGGGAGGATTCTGGGGAACTGCTCTCCACTTCCCAGCTCTGGTTTGGTATGTTGTGACCTGTCACCACCTCCCTCCCACCATCCGCCACGTCACCCCTGACTTTTACCTTCTTGGTGTGTGGGGAGGACTCCAGGGTGCTGCTATAGTCCTGGGGGTGCATCAGGGTCATGTCGGAGCAGCTGTCGTCCAGCACCTCCTGCATGCTGTTCACGCTGCTGCTCTGGCTGCCCGTGCTGACCGAGGTGCTGGGGATGGAGTGGTTGCTTCCCAGGCTGTTCATCTTACAGCTGGCTGCCTCGCTGTCCTGCAAGGGAACATCCACACATATTCATAAACACATGCTTCCACAAATCAACACTCATGAAATCATACAGAGATGCAATTATACACACATACTTCACCCCCAATATACACAGGCCTCTCCAAGTTCTCTGCAGTCACCTCAATACAAGGGAAATAACTAATGACCTCCAGATTGCATTGGACTCAACGTCATGTTTAATTGTCTATTAACCTCAAATTGCTCAGATGTGTATGTGCTAGTATCATTCACCTTCTAATGTTAATACACATCTGTATGCCTGAGATGTGTTCAGATTAGAAGGCCACTTGAGAGTGTGTACGTGATAGATATAGGGAGTCAAGCTACACAGCTTTTAGGTGCAGCAGACATACTGTATACATAACATATATTAGGATGTTATAATGAGTCCCTCCACACGCAGGGCATGTTCCCCTGAAAGCAGGAAATGAGGTTTAGGACTGCAGGTCTTCTCAGTAAAGCCTTCAGTGAGGTCTGGTGGCCGCTCTGAATTGCGTCACGTGGTGTAGGATGACACGACTGCTCTTCATGCTGCCTCAGGTGAGGTCAACTAAGTGTCAGACTACCGCAGCTGCAGCTGGAAGGCTCCTGTTTTTGGTGTGATGTAAGAGGGCCGAACGGCTGTGAGGAGCCATGAACTGTATTTTTGTCTTCCATCCATTTTATTTGAACAGAAAAATCAGTTAATAAGGCCACTTTGGACAAGAGTACAGTATCTGGCTCCTCCCTCTTCACATCACTTCAGACAAACTATCCTGTTCTCACACTCTTGAGCTGTGACTCTGAGCTCCAGGAGTCCTGCATAGTCGACCCAATAAAGTGAAACAACTCCCGCACTGCAGTGCAACACAGGTGCAATATTAAACTGCAGTAGAGTCGATTCATTGCTGATTTTCTCGGGTTAATATCATTACAAAGTGATTGTTTACAAGGTTGTGACTGCTGGAAGGACAAGGAAATGTTAAGAAGTCAACTTGCACTCCAGGAAATTGTGATGGCATTTTCAATATTTTCAGATATTTCACAGACCAAGGAATTGATTGATTAATCTAGAAAACACCTAGCAGATGAATCAATAATAAAAGCCCTACACCGCTGCATGTAGCCTCTGCCTGGCAGAGCGTCTGCTGTTCCCTGTGAACACACACTGTGTGTGTCGGTTGATATGAAAGTTGATTTCTGTGAGGATAAAGCTGAATTGAATTTGGTTTTACACAAAATCCATGAACAAATAAAAAAAAAAAAAAAAATGACGACAGACTTCACTTTGAGGTGAACAGAATTGAAATAGAGCTCAAAGGATTTCATGTTTTTAACCCCTTGTTCTCCACTCGTCTCCTGCGACTGCTACTCCTGACAAACTCTTTTAAGCTCATCTCCCTGTTATTTCTTTTTTAACTGATCTTTTACATCAACCCCTCCCTCTTCCTCCCACCTCCTCCTCCTCCTGGCTCTCTCCCATTGGTCCGTTGTGTTTCTCCTGGTAGAGGATCTTCTTCATCTTGCGGTACTGCAGGTTGTCCAGCTCGCGCACCGCATCCTTGGTCCTCTGGATGAGGTCGAGGAGAATGCGCGGCGAGCGTTCCCGACGCACAAAATCATGCTGGACGGAGAAGAAGAGGGAGAAAGTGAGTTAGTAGGGCTGGTTGGGTCAGAAGGTTTTCTTAAATGAGATAGAAGGAGGAAACAATTGGTATAGAAATTTAAAAGTAGTTTTTTTTTTTTTTTAATACAGTAATTTGATTTAATTCAAGTATTGTTTCAACTTCAGCTTTCATCCCATACAATTCATGGATGTTAATGACCCCCAAAACAGCTAAATAGCAATTTGAAAATGTACTTTTTATTTTGTCGATTGTGCTTCCAAAGTTCTTGCCTTAAGATATTTGTTAGACTACACATTACGTTTTAAATAAATGAAATTATAATTATAGCTTTCTTTGGAAAATAAACTGTTTTTTGCTGGAATGACGTAAGAAGTGTATACGATATAAAATGAGTTACTTCTCAGTAAATTTGAAAATGATGGTTTGAAAACATCTCACAGTTGGAGGACCTAAAGGTTTTGCTGTCTGTCTGCTCTTACAGATCTTATGAATGGGGTTTAAAGGACGTCTAATTTAACAGTTTTGGACTGAACTGCCTTCAACTTCTTTCATCCGGTGTATTATTTCAACGAGCACCTCGACTGTGCCCGTCACTAGAGGGCGCCTGTATGTTGCTCAGCCCATCCTGGGAGTCCCAGCACTCTTCATCCTCTTGTACACTGAACACATGGGATCTGTGCAAGATTGTCGATAAAATCGATTTTCACAAATACTCTTAATCCTTTTCATTCCAATAAATGAAGTCGTCACTGTATTTGCCTTGGCACCAAGTTAATGACGGCTTCAAAATAATGACAACCATTGAGTAGTAATATGCTGGTAATTAATTGAGAGGTTTCAGTCTTTAAATCCAATTTGTTTTTCTAGAAAGCCCACAAACATTAACCTCTCTGGAAAGAAAACTGTATTTATGGTAATAGTTGGAATTTAATAGCAGAATCTTTGGGACAGAAAAGTATAGAAGACCCCATGAATACAAACTGGATATTAGAAACCTAAAAGTCCTACAGCAAGAAAGTTAAATAGAAATTACTTGTGAAAATATGCTTATTCAATGGTATCTTCTTTCACCGTTGTACACTAAACTCAGGTTGAACTCATTTGTATCACATTTTCAAGCCGTGACCAGCTTTACTGTAAGAAGCCAAACTTTCTGTAATTTAATGGAGGTGTAATTGGGTGGGTTGGGGCATTACGCTTTTATGTAATTATTTATTTTGTGTTACATAACCAGCAGGTCAGTGTGGGTGTGTGGAGGTCAGGTAAGCATGAGGTGGTGAAGATGTGTGTTTTTATATATCTATTTAGCTAAATAAAAAACGCTCTCCTCTCTCCTGCACTTCTACCCACTCCACCACACACGCATGTATTCACACCTCCCCTTAGTCACTCTCATTCATAAAATATTGTGTGTCTGAAATGTATGCAACCTCAGAGTACAGGACTAAAATATATATACTGTATAAAAATCTTTTAGGTCTATTTCCAGCTCTGTTTCTCTACACACCTTCCTCTCCATGTGACACATGCTGCTGTAATGGGTTAGTCAGGACACAGGGGAATGACATCACGCTCTGAAAATAGAGACGGGAGTGATTTGTCCCGTTTCCTGACGGACCTACACCAGAGTGTGGGCGGTTGGCCTCCTCCGTCCCGGCGACGGCTTCTGGCCGGTCGGTTCAGGTTAGTGTTGAGAAGAAGCGACGGCATCAGTGTATAATGTAGCATCTTCTACCAGAAGTACTGTTCCATCCTCAGAGATTTACTCTGTTCGGTATCATCAATTTGTGACGTTAAATGCAGTACATCACATATTATCATTACGTTTTGATGTATATATTAAGATGGTCATTTATGTGTATAAATGATAAACATTAGGTTCATTATTGAAGTTGTTTAGGTCATAAAATGTACTTCTGCCTCTGAACAAATATACATTTATTTAGTTTATTTTGAGTTTGCTGTATAAAAAAAACGTTTTGGGGTACCCACTTTGCTTGAGCCGAACATGCTTAATGTATTAAAGGGCTAGTTCAACATTTGGGGAAATACACTTATTCTGTTTCGTGCCGAGAGTTAGCTGAGATAAATTGATATAGCTGGAGCCTGCGTCTGGTTAGCTTAGCTTAGCATAAAGACTGGAAACAAGGGGAAACTGCCAGCCTGGCTCCGCTGGATCCACCTACATGTTGTAGAACACAGATAGCTTCAATCTTCTCATCAGACTCTCGGCAAGAAAGCATATCGACTGAAAATGGATTTTGATAATGGATTTATCATTTAAGTCGTGTATCAATGAAGATGCCATGCACTGGTTCCAGCTTCTCAAATGTGAGGCTTTGCTGCTTTTCTGTTTCATATTATTGTAGTTGAATAATCTTTGGACGGTCGGACAGATGAATCAATTATAACACATCCTCTTGTGCTATGGGAAACTGTTCTGTTGCTCTGGAGATATGTGGTTAATAGGGGATTAAAAAAACAAACACCCGAAAACAAAACAACCCAGAGATATTTTTTAACTGTACATATTATTTTGCTTAAACGTATTGAGTACTTATGGGAGCAGGTCGTTATTTTATTATTTGCATAATTACTATTGTTCTAAATGAGGAATACAGGGAGAGAGTTTGTTTAACTTGAAGCCAGAGCACTGATAGCTCAAGGCCCCCAGATTAGTGACCTGATTTCCCCTTTAAAGAGCTTGGGGGCCATGTGTCTGTGTCTGTGTGAGTGCACTGAAAGAAAGTCATTTTGTGTGTGTCTGAGAAGAGAAAGTGGGGTATTAATCATAAGCTAACACCCCACCCCCCCAAGCCTTCACCATAAAGCAGCCCCTTCGACACTGATCTAAAGTCTGTTTGGTACTTATCCCTCTTTAATGTTTTTTTGGCCCGGATTTAGGTCAGGGGTGTTGGGAAAAGTGAATCCCAATCTAAACGTCGAAGCTATCCAGAGCCCCTTAATTAGCCGCTACCTAACTTCACACCCTCGGGTGGGGCAGGTGTGAAAACTCCCCCTGAAGCTCCCGCACTGTTGAGCGTGATCGCCAAGAGCGTTAAACTCTTAGTGGGCCAATAGGATTACCTGCTGGTCACACAAACAGAAAGATCAACCCCTCAATCACAGTGTAACACAACCAACGTATGCGGATAAACGCTGAGGAAGTTCATTGTGTTTTAGCCGGGTGTTATTGGGCTACGACATCATCTAGTCTGATATCATACCGATATAATAGTCATATATTACACAGACCTGGCAGGATGGCTAAAAAATGCCATTATTAAAGGCTGACTTTATGATTTTTACATCTTTATTTTATGGGAACATTTAGACTTTTATTTGAAAGATAACAGTGGAGAGGGAGGGTGATATTAATATTTGAAGTATTAGCATTTTTATCTTGGATATAGCAGTAACACAGAAATCTTACGAAAAGGACTCTTAGTACTTCAGAGGTCCAACTAAGTCGACCTTGTAATACAATGTTTTTGCAAAAAACGTTCTTGTAAGTTATATCATAAAGAGTGAAGCCTTTCGTGTTTCGTTTGACTCTGTGCATGAACAGAAACATATACTTGTTTTGTACTTCCTTGTTTTAAATATCTGTTCAATGCATATGATGGAGCGTACTTATGTTGTCAACCACGCACAATTGTGGATGTGGTGTGGGTGACTTGTGGGATTAGGGTGAGGAGGTTTGTATGTATATTGTGTGATGCAGATTATTTTGTATCAAATATACATTTATTTAGTTTATTTTGAGTTTGCTGTATAAAAAAACGTTTTGGGGTACCCACTTTGCTTGAGCCGAACATGCTTAATGTATTAAAGGGATAGTTCAACATTTGGGGAAATACACTTATTCTGTTTCGTGCCGAGAGTTAGCTGAGATAAATTGATATATTTTTTCTGTTTAAGAAAAAAAAAACAGCTAATCAGAAAAATAATGGGGCACCTGGTGGCGTAGGGGTTAGGGCACCAAACATAAACCCCAACATCGACTTTTATTGCATGTCCTTCCCCATCTCTCCCTCTCTCTCTCTCTCTCTCTCCCCCCTCACTTCCTGTCATCATTTTAATGTCTTGCTATCAATAAAAGGCATAAAATGCCAAAAAAATGATGTGAAAGCAGGAAATACACGCAGCTGTATGGAGCCCTTAAGGGCCGTGGCTACGAGGCACAGCACAACAAGCAGAGCTACAGAGATAGAAAGAGAGATAGAGAGAGAGAATAAGCTGTTCTCATCTTGAAGAAGACACTGTGTGTATGCTTGCGTATTAGGGAGTCGTGGGTGGGTGGGAGTGACTCATCCACATGGCTCAGGGACTGAGTGAGACAGGAAGTGAGGTCACAGCTGGAGGGATTACAGAGGAAGCCCACTCACTCGTAGCAGCTCCCCCGAGGAGGGTCTGTCCTGAGGAATTTTCAGTAGGCAGTAGTCGATAAAGCTCCGGAAGGGGTCAGACCTGGGTGAAGAGAACAGTGAGGGAGTGAGTTCTCAGTCAGACATATTTAAATAAGAATAACTTAAGCAGAAATAGCAGTGACAATCTAATTATAGGCTGCCTTCAGCCACACCTGACTGTCAATGAATGTTTAACTCGATGAGTAATGCTCTGTCCTGTGTGTTTATCGTATCAATGAATTAAACCGGAACAATCCTATTTAATCTCTTAGTGCATCCCTATGCATGAACCATATATGGATTATATAAATATGTGGAGCAATAAAAACATAGGAGCCACTGGATCTGTGACACTGATCTAAAAATATCCTCATGAAAACACAGTGTATGTATCACTGTGTGTTTGGATTGCACTGTGTGTTTGGATTGCCAACATTAAAGTCAAATGGGGGTTCTATTTAAGATTTTGGGGTCATTGCAGGGTCAGTAAATGCACCCATCCACCAACCACCTCCTCAACATCTAACGTCCTCTGTGGATCGCCGAGGTCCATGAGTGCACCTTTATGTCATGCCCAATGTGTGTGTACAGTGTGGCCTCGTGTACTGAAGTTACACTACAGAGCCGATGTCTCTACTAGTCTCATCTGGCGGGATGTTGCTAACGCCTCGGGGCCGCTGGAGCTCCTCCAAAAATACCACAACCCTGCGCCGCCCCACACACACACGCTCGCCTCAGCGCGATGCTGGAAAAAAACACAACGCTAATTTCACAACTTCAGGCAGCAGATTCCAACTAATAAGACTCCACCTGCCTTGTGTTTCTGATGACTGAGCCCATGACATATGCTCTCTTTTGAGGTGTAACAATGAGCACAGTTGGGGTTGCAGGGCTCAGGAATGTCTTCAGGCTGCTCTGAGGCAGGTAGAGAACCACTTACAGTCTCTCGCCTCGCAACACACAAGCAAACACCAACATGACTCTGCATGCTTAGGACCAAACGCAACGCTTCACTCTCATTTCACGGTGGTGAAAGCATAGAGGAAGATCACTAAAAGGTAAATTACAGGGCGAACATCAAACAAAGGGTTAATATTTGATGAGTGTTGTTTCCCCCCCATGACAGTCGCACCTCACATGCAAAGTGTGAGTGGTGGCTTCAGCAACTCAGGCGATCGGTGGAATATTTGCTGCCTTGCTGACTTCCTGCTGGTAACCTTTTAGATCAGCTACTTATATGTATACATTTACATATCTATCCTATTTTTTCCCCGCTGTGAAATACATTAACCTAATCTCATACTAAATCCCTCCATTCCTTCCATTTATCTCCAGGTTTGTGCAAGCAAAATAAGAATGTGGAGGAGGATGGAATATTTGCTGCTTCGTTGAGTATATATATATAACATAACATGAATTAGATGGGTATAGTGGCTAGTTTAGAGCATACAGTAAGTGTTAACATTAATGCTCCAGCTGACATAACAAACGTTTTTAAAATAATTCATCTTCCTAAATTTGAGTCCTCCAAGCCACAACGTCATGATGTTATTATTATTAAAGATCAGGTTTATTCATTTAAAAAGGTGCTTGTCAACCATGTGGCTGAGAGCTTTTTAAAACCTGCTGGCCTAAAATAAATTGTTTAGGTTTTTTTTAATGTCTGGAAGGACAGTCTCTAGAGAATCTATTAGCGTCCACAATCGTAAGCTGTGATGCTGAGAACAGCAATAAAAAATATTGGCTCTTTTCCCATAATACATGTAGAACAAAGAAACACTCTAGTTAGTATGGCAAACACAAGAAGATGTTTTAACTACTAGAACAACATTAGAATAATCGCACTGCTTTTGTTTTATGTTGATATACATGACACCATGCCTTACAGCCCAGCAGGAATGCTGTGGTATTTACACAGTATTACTTTAGTAGAGGTTTCCAAGGTAATTACATGAGAGACTTTAGAGCGGGACCTCGCACAAGGCCTGATGCAGGGATCATAGGTCGGGCAGATTAACACAGGGATGTCTTACCCTGACTGAGCCCGGATCGGGCTTTAATGTTCACAGTTGAGTGGAAGTATCGTATCACCAGTTCTACTGGATTTTCTTGATTTGTGGAGGATTTTTTTTGCTCAATCACCATCTTTTAAAAACATTTCGTTGTGTGTCAGTTTGACTGATCACATATTGGACAGCATTCTGCAAAGACTAACCTTTTCATAATTAAAAGGATTTTAAAAAACAACAACAAATCACTGAATGGTTATACTTGGGAGGTTGGTTTTCAACTCACCACTCATTGGACTGTAGCGTGGGAGAGTCGTTCTGTGCGATGTGATATAAGGCACTCATGGCATTCATGTTGAACAAGGGTGGTTTGCGCTCCGCTAAAATAGGAAAAGATGGCGAGAAGTCAGAGAAAGATGGAGAAGAGCGATGATTCAGAGCCAAGTTTACACAATCACCAATCAGCTTCTCCTTTAATGAGGCAGATTCAAGGTCTCTAAAGCATGCAGGAAGAAATTAGATGTTTTTCTGTCGTCTTGTTTCACAAATCATTTAAAGTCAGCTTAAATGTGTTCTTCATGGGCCTATAAATGCATCCTTTGACCCGTAGGTAGAAGTATGCTCACCCAGTTCAATACAGGTGATCCCCAGGGACCAGATGTCCACTTTCCCCTCGTACTGACCCTCGTCCATGGCTAGGATCACTTCTGGGGCCATCCTGAGGACATGCAAATGCACACAGGCACGCATAGTTGAAGTATTGGGGGGGGGGGGGGGGGGAGGAAAAGGAAAAAGTGGACATCGCGTCGCTGGGGCTTACAAGGATAGG